AAATCTGGGAAGGTTCACTTACAGTTTTCCAAAACATGGCTACATGGCAGGCCATTGAATCTTTCCTACGAGTTCATAACAAAGTTACGAGAAACAAAAATGTATTGTGAATTATAGATAGCAGGCTGAATATAAGGATAACAAGGCTACTGAAAGCTATTTTTGAGATAATTACCTTGAACATGGCGTGGAGTCCTTCATTGATTTATTACTTTCACAACTGTGTACCTAACCTGTGGAAGAAACAAGAAAAAAACAATAAATATAGAATAATATTTGCAAAATAACAATTCAAACGGTATCCTTCATCGACTTCTCTCATTTTTCTGTGCACATGTACAGTAAGTACACAATTCATTTGCATAGGTGTGCATTTGTGCCGGTGTGCTTGTATCGTGCAAAAGCTTTCTCCATTCTCAAGACTTGAGGTTTTCATCAGCCATATCAGCCTGCAGCCATAAAACCCTTCAGCTGTTCAAAGATGTGTCATGCAAAACAAATGCACATTCTCATTCTTCTCTGGGCATAGACCTTCATGTTGTTCATGTTCCAACTGCACACCAGCACTCTTTTATAAGCTGTTTTAAGCTGCCAAGAAGATTGTGCTGCTTTATAATTGACAGCGGGAACTGATCATTGTTGACACACATCAGAGAGTATCAGCTCTATAATCTGAGCAACTGTGATCGAAAGATTATCAAACATCGCATAGATTACGCAAGCTCTTCCCAAAGCCACACTGGTGTTTAAGCCGTTTTGCAGATTAAAAAGAGCTGAGTTTTGTTCCTATAAGTCCCCTTAATGTGTCACACCCCAGAAGTCTCCACAGCAGACACAGGAAGTTTAGAGTCTGCTTTTATCTGCCATGCACAATAGGAGCACTGTGCTTTGCTAAGCTTGAGCTATTACTCGGAGGAAATCGTTATGAAGGAAGAATGTATCAAAGTCCTTTGATTGTGGAGGATCATAACTTGTGCGAAAGGAATTGTCTGTCTGCCCTCCCCCGATCCCATTTTTTTGAAGCCTCACTGAAAAGTTCACCTTCTTATCTGTCAGTTGGTTAGTCAAGCTCAGTTTCAACTCTGTAAAGATTTGAAGGCATTCCTCCGAGCCTACAGTTTGACAAGACTGCCACTTGTTGGTAAGTCAGGTTACTGCGCCATGAGGATGAGTGCATCAGTGGCACACTCATCTTTTACAAACTCCTACATTATTTTCTGTGGTTTCTGTGGTGAATAATAAAAGATAAGACAATTTTAAGATTCGTTTTAGCAATTTTGTCCCATTTTGAGTTTCCCAGGTTGAAACCCAATAAGGGAACAATGCATGAATATGGAGGGGTTACAAGACGTTTAAGTACCACATAAAATGCACAACTCACAATAGTGCATAGAATAGAAAAGGTTTATTTTTTTGGCTAAGGTTTTGAATTTAATTTTAAACTCCTTTCACCTAAGGTCTCAAAAAGACCAGTACAATCAAATGGAACTGCAAAGATTTCTCAAGTGATTTAGTAATACACTTTAAGCTTAGAAATATCTCAACTTGGAGTCCTCAGTGTGTAAATGGTAATGGTAAATGGACTTGTTCTTATATAGCGCTTTTCTACTCTGTCTGAGCACTCAAAGCGCTGTGTGTGTCTCCTACTAGATTTCAAAAACGCTCTCATTCTGTTTCTAGTCCCATGATGCAATTGAGCAGCATTTCCCCTCCTCAGCCTGACTACTAACAGCCCACACCTCCTGTGCAAACAGATACTTTCAGTTAAACAGTGTGTTTTCATTTAAATCTCTGATGACAAAAAAAAAGATAATCTGATGGCATCAAGGTTAGTGAAAAGCTTCCATAGGCTTAGTAGTGGACATTGTGACAAAGCAAGCAAACAAATTTAAAGACTGAATGAAAAGCATTTCATAAAAAACGAATAATTAAAAATACTATCTAAAAGTATAATTGTGTTTAGCTTCGTTGCATGATGATCTGTGTTTCACTGTTGCTAAAACTACAGAAATCTAGTTACAAATGCAAACACATCAAGAGCATGACCTTTGTGGTAGTACAGATTTTTATTGTTTATTTATTTGTAACTTTTTTTTGTTTTTTGCTAAGCTTATAGTACTCAGTACCTCTGAGTAGCGAGTTTCAGGTTGTTTTGGGTGAGATTATGCAACTTCACCAACTGACACAATCATATTCATAAGATCCGGTGCACCTTTATGCTTCTTTTTCAAGCATTTGTCATCTCATTTGTCTCCATTTGTTGATATGATGTGTATATGTGAGGTGGGACTGTGTACGTGTGTGTCCTGAGGATGTTCAGTGTTTGTCTTAGCTTAACTAGGTTAAACTGAGTGATATCCTTTAAATTATGACATGTTGGCACGGGAGGGCTGACCGATTTATGGACCTGCCCCACAGGGACATGAGGCAAAAGTGTGTGCCAAAACAGCTGTCATCAGGCTTTATACCATAGAAGCCAAAAGACTTTGTAAACACATGTAAATATGAGATTGGGAGCGGTCATTTTGGTAGAAATTAAGGATAGTAATTGTTTGCTGACTTCCTACAACCACAGGGTGAACTTGAGCTTTTCAGTGGAGCTTTTTAGCTGTAAACAACAAATACACTGAGCAAATCCCAGTTGACATTTTCTAAATTAACTGTATTATAAGAAATAAAGTCTTCTTTCCTGCTGTTCTAACATCATCATTCTACTCCTCTTCCTTGTTGACCATGCTCTGCCTGCAAAACAAACACCAAGCTTTTAATTGACTGTGGTGCTAACGGAAGTTACACCCAACTCACACACAGTTCTCAAGTATCAACCCAGAAAGATGTGTTATTCTACACACACTCCTTAATTGAAGTCATGATGAGAATCCTAATAGGGATTGTGTGTGTGCGCGTGTGTACCTGTTTAGACATTTTTCTGGGGACCAACAGCCCTTAAGGGGACCAAAATCTCAGTCGCCTCAAGTTTTAGCGTCAGGTTTACAATTAGGTTATGGTTATAGGTTTAGTCTCCAAAAGTTGATTCTGTTCATCCGGACCTAGCGTTTTTGTGGGAGAAAAGTTGAGCATGCATCAAGAAGTTATAGGTTTAGGGTAAGGGCTTTTGTGATATTGAAGCTGTTCTGATGACTATAAAAAGAAATGACAGGTGAAGATTTGCCAGAAATGTGTTCAGAAAATAGGCATACATAATACAAATCACTGAACATATTAAATATGGACAAAAAAATAAAATAGCACAGTGTTAGTTTAGCTATAAAAGTAGTAATGATTTTTTTCTTTTTCTAGAAACGGACAGTATAAAAGATGGACATAGCCACTGGTTTTACACCAGCTTTGTGTTTCTTTAGATAAAAACAAAACAGAGGTTGGATTAAAGGATAATAAAAGAAAAGATCGACAGCAAGGACAAAGAGGAAATACTACTGGAGTAGATTTCTGTGAACATGAGCAATGCTCTTCTAGAAGCAAATATGTAACCTGAAATTTCCAGGTTATTCCCTACCTGCTTTGATAGGGAGACAGAAATCTCTCAAGTACTCTCTCAAGATTTTGTGTAATCACTGCCCTAAAGAGCTTTAAACTTGTACAGTATACTTTTTTATTTTATTTGATCTTTTTGGGGTTTTTTTGGCTTCCTGCTGAAAAAAACCCATCCTTCCTGCTGTTTTTTGTTTTCTGGTGATTTAAAGGAACCATTCGATTTCTGAGTTTAGGTCTAGTTGTCAAAGCATCAAGTGTGTGGATGCTCTCCAGCAGGTGTGACTGATTTTTGACCAAAGAGATCGATGGACTGGTTATTCAAAAATTACTAAAAGTATCTTCTGTAACACAAGGCCCTGAAAGAAATCCAGATCAGGCAGATAACCCATAAGTTTCTTGGCCTACTGGGACACTGAAGTGAACATTATTAAAACTGTGCTTTCCCTGCTTTGATGAGCCAAACATGCTGTGTAAGAGGCATATTGCGTCCAGGTTTGTGTAATAAATTTACCCAAGTATAAGCATACAAATATGAAGCTTTTCCTTTCTAATACTAAAGTACTGAACTCCCTCTAGAAGGAGCTACTGTAACCTTTGAAAACACTATTAAATATACCATTGAATACAAATTGCTTTCGGCAAGGTTGAATATTAAGGTTATTTTGGAAGTGAAGTAGGAATATAGGCATTAAAAGGGTTTTTTTTCTTTCTTTGTACGTGGACAAAAGCATGCAGTCTTAAAATAAGAATTAAAAGCATTGGAAGTACCTTGACAATTTCCTATGAGTTGATTTATTTGTTTGCTCAATTGTTTCTGCCCACACATAATACTTATTTTTTTAAATAGCCATTACATGTTGAATATCCCTTTCATTAAAATTATATCTCTAGTTTGCATCCATTAATCTTTGCTGAAACATTTGTTAAGTAACAATACAGCTAGTTACTTTATTGCATTTCTCTGACTGAGGACACTTTTTATAAGGAGTTGCTGTAAACAACCAAAAACCCTCATGGGATAGCTTCCCACCTCTCACGCACTGTTAATGAACATGACTGGTTCATTAGTTCCTATCGATTTCCCCTATTGGGACACTTATTGCAAGTGTCTGGGACATAATTGTGATTGGTGGGTTGGCAGTTCCTGGTGTCCCCTGTATTTAATGTTTTCACTTTATGAGCTATAAAAGTCTGAATAGATAATCAATAGAGTGTTGCCATGGTTTAAGCCGCCTGTAAGGTTGATGGAAAGTTTTTCTGTTCCAGAGGATGGCCTTGAATGAATGTGCATGCATGGCAGTGAATGCATTCATATTTATCAGGTTTTCAGTGCATGCAGGTGAATTAACATGGACAAGTACTGATATGAGGAGGATATTTTCAACAGACTGCTGACTTAGCACCAAATATGTTGCAGGATGCTTTGGACCGTATCACCTGTGACCTTCTTTTTTCTTCTTTTTCTTTCTTTTCTTTTTCGCTGTTCTCTCTATCATCTCTTACAGGTAATTCTGGTGGGTTCCTCTATAAATGAACGAGATCAAATGCTGTTTATCAGCACAGATGAAGGTTCCTCCTTCCAGCGGCAGTCCATCGACTTCACACCTGACACGCTCATCTTCCACCCCAAGGAAGAAGACAAGCTGCTGGCCTATTGCAAGGAGGGCAGGGTGGGTTGTAGACACAAACATAAAAGAAACTTTTGATTCTGTAGCTGAAATAAATGCACAAGGAGTTATCGTTGGTGTTACGTTACCAAATCTTTTGTCGTGCAGCAGCGCATTATATCTCAAGATTTACGACTAAACTCAGAAAAAAAACGTCATATGTTGTTTTTTCATACCACAGTAATGCTGTTCTGTAATGTTTGAATTAAAGTGAAATGAATTAAACAATAACCATATCCAAACACAGTGACGATATAGTGTAGCAGAGGTGGGACCAAGTCATTGTTTTGCAAGTCTCAAGTAAGTCTCAAGTCTTTATCCTCAAGTCTCAAGTCAAGTCTCAAGTAATGTCAGGCAAGTCAGAGTCGAGTCTCAAGTCACTGGTGTAAAAGTCCGAGTAAAGTCACAAGTCTGAAATTTTGAATTTCAAGTCCTTTCGAGTCTTTAAAAAAAACGAAAAAAGCATGTTGCAGTTATATGCTAAATGTAAATATTAGACCATGTAATTTTTAAATCTGTGTTTTTCTCAACACATGACAAAATAGTGAACTTAGAAAATATACACAAATTGTGAAATTGCACCTCTTTAAAATGCAGCTCAATTAAACCTAGCTCCAAGAATAATTTTCACCGACAGTTCTGAGATAAGCTGCATGTTATTCTTGGATGCGGTTGTAGGACCGGCTTTAAAATCGCATGACAAAAATATCATACACATTAAAAAAAACTGTATCACCAACGTAGCCTGGACAACATTTGCTAGTTAGATGAAGTCAGCTATCTCATCGTAGCATATTTATATGCATATTTATAATCATACGGTTCTTGGAGTGAGTGCACACACTCATGAAGTTTAGTAACTTCAGGTCACTGCAACAAGCCCAGGTACAGTTTACCGACGGATGGGTGCAGGACCTTGAAATGCACCGTGTAGAACCCATCGTACGTATCATAAGTTTACCAGTCTCACAAATTGTCTTCATAAATACACATTCCTTAACCGTTTATTAATAGGACCTTTGAGCTCAACGGTAATTAATTAGTAGTGGAAATAATTTCTGGTAGCATCACAGAAATGTAGCAGTGACAATAATACTGTATGCTGTAATCGTACTGGGCAATTAGTGATACAAAAATAATAACAGAGGCGAAACGCAATATTGTGTCAGGACAATTCACTATTTATGCACAATAAATAAAGGAGCATAGCGACAATTTCTGTTCAGCGCCAGACTTGCTTGTAACCTATATCACCAATTATGTTATAAAAATGACGTATTAACTACAACAGAACACTGACCTTCGTGTAAATGCTTGGAGCAGACTAACCTGTGAGCTGGAGTGTTCTGGGACGTTATATTTGGTCTTTGAATGGCTGCAATCCAGGCCATCCGTCACGTCTTTGTTACTTCGGAAACATGGCTCGAACAATTTCTCTTCAACGACGTAATCCGATAACAACCGATCTCTTTACCCGTCGGCTTCCCGTGGCTGTCATGCGACCGGCTATTGCAGTTAATAATACAACAGCTTCTTGACATTTTTGTGTTTCTTTTTATCGCTGTGTGACTGATTTCAATTGAAAGCCTGCGTGCGCTAGTACCGCTTGCCACGAGTTCCCAGAATCCTTTGCGGTTCTACCCGTGAATGACGTCACATTTTCAATCTCTATATAATATGCATGTTAAATTTTATATTTGGGGTGAAATATCAAGTCTTTTCAAGTAAACCGGTTCAAACCCAATTCAAGTCCCAGGTCATTGGTGTAAAAGTCCAAGTCAAGTCACAAGTCTTAGAACATTTTTTCAAGTCAAGTCTAAAGTCATAAAATTAATGACTCGAGTCTGACTCGAGTCCAAGTCATGTGACTCGAGTCCACACCTCTGTAGTGTAGTCACACTTGGCTTCTAGTTGGAAACCCTTTGGCAAGTTCTAAGAAGAAATAAAAACGTATATCATAAAACAATGTTTTTAATTATAAATAACCCACAAATCTATTTGTATATAGAAATCTGAATGTAAAACTTTTGCTTTAAATTTTATTTTTAAGGTAAAAGTTTAAATATGTATATTTATTACGTTGCTGTCAGATCTTGCACTGACTTTTCTCAGCAAACATCTAATGGCTGCAGTTATCCCTGTTTCTTGTCCACCTCTCCCTACCCCACTCATCCTTTCAAAGCGTTCCAATTTTCCATACATTCTATGCAGCACTCAGCGAATGACTAGACATTCAGCAATGACCTTATGGGGCTTACTGTCCTTGTGGATTGCCCAGTGAAGGTCATCTGGACAATTGTCAAGTCAGCAGCCTCGAATGTAGTTGCTTGCACTCGACTAGACTGAGATACACACATAATTTACTCAAATTTAGAAGGAAATATTAAGTCGAGATAATCCATTATCTCACATACTTTTTAATTTTGAACAGCAAAACCCATAATCACCCAAATTAAAACAAAACAGGCATATAAAGACAAACATTTCACTTCATGTGCAATTAATATAGATTAATATCGATTTTATGTAAAACCTTTTCATTATATATTTTTTTAGTTTCACTATCATTAAAAGCACTAACAGTAGACAGAAACAATTAAACTATGATGGAGGATCCTGAGGTGCTGGTTAATGACCGTCAATGCACACTTGTAGAGCACATAATAATTCAGCTGCATGGCTTTTTATGTTGTTTTTAATCCTGCTTAAGTTAATTGCTTTCATAGTTGTAACATGTCACTCCAGTCTGAGCCAACACGAAAGCCAGGGCATCGTATTGCTGTCCAATGAATTACTTATGTCTTTTTGCCGAGAGATGAGATGATTCAGTGGATAAGACATTCAAGCCTGCAGCAATGTAGAGAACCTGCAAGATGAAAATAGTGTTGGTCAAAAATGCTGCTTTCTCATGTAGGTTAGAAACACTCAATCAACAGATTTATTAATAAGCAATGAGAGATGTTCATCTCACTGCATTTGACTGTTTTATAGCAGTAGCTTTAGTTAGGGGATCAAAGCAGAGCCAAGGAATTTAAAGATGTATCACTTGGGGACACATGTGGAATGGCCAATTCTGAGCAAAGCTAATGTTAACAGCTGATATGGTGATAACACAAAGGTAGTGCAAAGGTAGTATATCTGATCTGGCAGTGATATACAAAGGTCGGAAGCCCAAAGTGCAGATAGCGATATTTTTGTCGTAGAGAGCAAAGTATTTTATTTTATGTTATTATGTTAGCTGACTATAGTCGCCTATGTGGAAACAGCACAGCTATGTCTTGATGCATACTCAATCATACAGGTAAGGTATTCATCCAGGTACTTTTGGAGACAGCGCAGCTATATTTCACGTTGTTGTCTACCACCACACCTGGGTAATTCACCAATCATACACTAAAAATATTGAATTAAAGGGCAGTTTGTTTTCATATGTTATCAGTATGGTTTAGTTCAGTTTATCTGCCACAGCCTTTGTACTTATCTGTATATTATGAATTCATTTCTTTGGATAATACCTTTTTAAAAACTAATAAAGTAACACTTTAACAATCTATCAAGATCAACAAAATGTAATTTCATTTTGTTTTGTTGCACAAACCACCAAACAACTACTTGTATTCATCAAAGTCCTTATTTTTTGCACCGACTGAATTAACATCATCATCATCATCAACTTTATTTATAAAGCACTTTAAAACAACCACAGCTGACACAAAGTGCTGTACATTTAATTAAGTAATTAAAACCCAATGTAAAAAGTGGTGTTTGGGCTTAAATAAAAAGACCCTGAAAACCAAAATGGAAATGAAGCTCAAGATATTTAAGTAGGTGAGACATAAGTTTGAATAGTTAATAAGCTTGAATTGGCTCAACTCCTCCTCCACTTCAATAATTTACACATAATTAAGCAAGAAATTCAATTAGGTTTTAATCTGTTCCATATGGGCAGGCTGCAGATGGAAACGAGGAATCCATTCAAACAGAACAAAAAAAATCATTTAGCTGGAGAATGATGTGAGGATCATTTTCAAATTACGGTTTGTGAGGGCAGACACATATTTACATCAAGGTCAACCTTCATTTCTCTTTTTCACAGCGACAAAAGAATGTGCTTTAGGATTAGCTTGTCGTCACTGATTACATTTATTTTCCGATGACCATGAGTGAGATAGGCAGGAGCTGAGCAGAATGAGAAGGTGCAAGTGTTGTTTGTGTGTTTGTGTGTCAGCTAATACACACTCAATGCACACACCTTGTCACGCTGACACACACGGCTGCCAAACCTGTTATGATTAATATGTGAGCTCAGTTTTAATGTATGAAATGTAGTATCTTGATTGGATGAATAATTTTCTATAGTGACCTCCATTGTAAAATAAACAGCTGGCAATAATCTGGAGATACGTTATGCTACATGGAAATTGTGCTTTTTTCTGTCTAATTGTGTGGGGTTTTTTGTTTTTTTTGTCCAGCTCTTTGCTTCAGCAGATCTGGGCCGCAAGTGGACATTACTGCAGGAGAGGGTGACAAAGGACAGAGTTTTCTGGTCAGTCTAACTTAATTTTATAACATTTGATGGATAAGATGCCAAGAATGCAGCTGTGTTTGTATCACAGCTGGGGCCAGCATTACTAAGCAAGTTCATGATACCCAGGATATCTTTTTCTTATTTTGAGTCACTTATCCAAACAACAGCAACATCAGTAACTGAAGGTGGATCAGTCAACCCAGATTCTTCTTTTTATGAGTCTGGTCACATAAAACTATGCAATTTGATTAATCATAGACACGGACTAGTCTACTTGCAGCAAAGCAGTATAATTTACAAATGAAGAGACTATATTAAAAATATTGAAAGATGTTAAACAGATGATACATCTGCAAGTTGGTACATAAGAATGTGTGATTTAAAAAGAAGGGAATGCCGTTGTTCCCTAAGAATCTCCATTTCTTATTGATGCTTGTCAGATAAAGACAAATACTATCTCTAGAACTACAGTCCTTTCTACTACCTAAATACTGAAGTTCTAGGGATTTTGTTGGAAAGAACTGATTGGTAATTATGTTGTGGTTTTGTACATGTTCGTGTCTTTTCTAAAGGATAACATGCACCAGAGCACATTAGGCCTGCAGCATATTTTACCATGGCGGTGTACCCATTAAGAAGATAACCTTTGTGTTTACCCTGAAAACCAAAGGATAAACCTGACAGTACCACACTTGCCTGACTCAGTATCTAGGTTTGCTCTACAGGCCTCTGATAACTTCTTCACTGATATATAGTTTTAGAAACTGTGAGAATTAAGGTTGCAACCAAACAGAACATTTTCTGTTTCTTTATGCAAAGATGATTAATACTGGTTCTTGAACATATGTCAGTGTTTTGCAAGGATCCCAATAAGTTAAGGAAGAGAGGAATGAAAATACAAGTACAAGGACTTTATTTTGAATTTACTTTGAGATGGGTGTTGAAGGCTATAATAAACACAGACGAAAAGAAAATTTGAACTGCTTAAGGTTATTTCAGTTCATCCATCCATCCATCCATCCATCCATCTTCATCCGCTTTATCCGAGGCCGGGTCGCGGGGGCAGCAGCCTAAGCAAGAGAGCCCAGACCTCCCTCTCCCCAGCCACCTCCTCCAGCTTATCCAGGGGGAACACCAAGGCGTTCCCAGGCCAGCCGAGAGATATAATCTCTCCAGCGTGTCCTGGGTCTGCCCCGGGGCCTCCTCCCGGTGGGACATGCCTGGAACACCTCACCCAGGAGGCGCCCAGGGGGCATCCTTGTCAGATGCCCGAACCACCTCAGCTGGCTCCTTTCGATGTGGAGCAGCAGCTGCTCTACTCTGAGCCCCTCCCGGATGGCCGAACTTCTCACCCTATCTCTAAGGGAGAGGCCAGCCACCCTTCGGAGGAAGCTCATTTCCTGCCGCTTGTATCCGCGATCTCGTTCTTTCGGTCACTACCCACAGCTCGTGGCCATAGGTGAGGGTAGGGACGTAGATCGACCGGTAAATTGAGAGCTTCGCTTTTACACTCAGCTCCCTCTTCACCACGACTGGACCGGTGCAGCGTCCGCATTACTGCAGCTGCAGCCCCAATCCGTCTGTCGATCTCCGGCTCCCTTCTCCCATCACTCGCGAACAAGACCCCGAGATACTTGAACTCCTCCACTTGGGGCAGGAACTCATCCCCGACCCGGAGTGGGCACTCCACCCTTTTCCGGCTGAGAACCATGGCCTCAGATTTGGAGGTGCTGATCCTCATTCCCGCTGCTTCACACTCGGCTGCGAACCGTTCCAGTGCGAGCTGGAGGCCCTCACCCGATGAAGCCAACAGAACCACATCATCCGCAAAAATCAGAGATGAGATTCTGAGGCCACCAAAGCGAAAGCCCTCCGCCACTTGGCTGCGCCTAGAAATCCTGTCCATAAAAATTATGAACAGAACCGGAGACAAAGGGCAGCCCTGGCGGAGCCCATCACCCACCGGGAACGAGTCCGACTTATTGCCGGCAATGCGAACCAAGCTCTTGCAACGGTTGTATAGGGATCGAATGGCCCGTAGCAATGGGCCAGACACCCCATACTCCCGCAACACCTCCCACAGGACACCCCGAGGGACACGGTCGAATGCCTTCTCCAAGTCCACAAAACACATGTAGACTGGTTGGGCAAACTCCCATGCACCCTCAAGTATCCTGGAGAGGATAAAGAGCTGGTCCAGTGTTCCGCGACCAGGACGAAAACCGCATTGTTCCTCCTGTATCCGAGGTTCGACTAACGGACGAACTCTCCTTTCCAGCACCCTGGCATAGACTTTCCCAGGGAGGCTGAGGAGTGTGATCCCCCTGTAGTTGGAACACACCCTCCGGTCCCCTTTCTTAAAGATGGGGACCACCACCCCGGTCTGCCAGTCCACAGGTACTGCCCCTGATCTCCACGCAACATTGCAGAGGCGTGTCAACCAGGACAGCCCTACAACGTCCAGAGCCTTCAGGAACTCGGGGCGGACCTCATCAACACCAGGGGCTCTGCCACCAAGGAGTTGTTTAACTGCCTCAGTGACCTCGCCCCCGGAAATTGGCGGGTCATTCCCCTCATCCCCAGACTCTGCTTCCTCCTCGGAAGACGTGTCAGTGGGATTAAGGAGGTCCTCGAAGTATTCCTTCCACCGCCTGACAATTTTCTCAGTCGACGTCAGCAGCGCTCCGCCAGCACTATACACAGTGCAGGTAGAGCACCGCTTTCCCCTCCTGAGACGCCTGACGGTTTGCCAGAATCTCTTCGAGGCAGTCCGAAAGTCTTTTTCCATGGCCTCTCCGAACTCCTCCCACACCCGAGTTTTTGCTTCAGCCACTGCCCGAGCCGCATTCCGCTTGGCCTGTCGATACCTGTCGGCTGCCTCCGGAGTCCCACAGGCTAACCAAGCCCGATAGGACTCCTTCTTCAGCCTGGTGGCTCCCTTCACCTCTGGTGTCCACCATTTGGTTCGGGGATTACCACCACGGCAGGCACCAACCACCTTGCGGCCGCAGCTCAATGCAGCAGCTTCGGCAATGGAGACGCTGAACATGGTCCATTCGGACTCAATGTCCCCAGTCTCCCTCGGAATGCTGTTGAAGCTCTGCCGGAGGTGTGCGTTGAAGATCTCGCGGACTGGGGCCTCTGCTAGACGTTCCCAGCACACCCTCACTACGCGTTTAGGTGCACCAGGTCTGTCCAGCGTCCTCCCCCGCCACCTGATCCAACTCACCACCAGGTGGTGATCAGTTGACAGCTCAGCCCCTCTCTTTACCCGAGTGTCCAGAACATATGGTCGCAGGTCTGGTGATACGATTACAAAATCGATCATCGACCTGCGGCCTAGAGCGTCCTGGTGCCACGTGCACTTATGGACACTCTTATGTTCGAACAGGGTGTTCGTTATGGCCAAACTGTGATTAGCACAGAAGTCCAATAACAAAACACTGCTCGGGTTCAGATCAGGGAGGCCGTTCCTCCCAATCACGCCCCTCCAGGTCTCGCTGTCGTTACCCACGTGAGCATTGAAGTCTCCCAGCAGGACAACAGAGTCTCCAGGTGGAGCACCTTCCAGCCCCCCCCCAGGGACTCTAAGAAGGCTGGCCACTCGGCGCATAAGCGCAGATGACAGTCAGGACCCGTTCCCCGACCCTAAGGCGCAGGGAACAAACCCTCTCGTCCACCGGGAAAAACCCCAACGTACCGGCAGCAAGCCGAGGGGATATTAGAGATACCCACCCCAGCCCGCCGCCTCTCACCAGGGGCAACTCCAGACTGAGACAGAGTCCAGCCCCTCTCCAGGAGACTGGTTCCAGAGCCCAAGCCATGCGTAGAGGTGAGCCCGACTATATCTAGCCGGTACCTCTCAACCTCACGCACTAACTCAGGCTCCTTCCCCACCAGAGAGGTGACATTCCATGTCCCTATTGCCAGTCTTGGCAGCCGGGGGTCAGTCCGCCAGGGCCTCCGCTCCTGGCCGCCACCCGGCACACAATGCACCCGACCCCTATGGCGCCTCCTGCGGGTGGTGGGCCTGCGGGAGGATGGGCCCATGTCTCCTCTTCGGGCTGTGCCCGGCCGGGCCCCATGGACTAAGGCCCGGCCACCAGACGCTCGCCCTCGGGCACCCTCCCCGGGCCTGGCTCCAGGGCGGGGCCCCGGTAACCCTATCCCGGGCAGGGTAAACTGTTCCCTCGATATCCTTTTCATAAGGGTCTTCTGAATCGCTCTTTGTCTGGTCCCTCACCCAGGACCAATTTGCCATGGGAGACCCTACCAGGGGGCAAAAGCCCCCAGACAACATAGCCCCTGGGATCCCTGGGACACACAAACCCCTCCACCACGATAAGGTAGCAATTCAAGTTCACTTAAGTTCAATTTAGTACCAAATCACAATAACAGTCACATTGTAAGGTAAGAAGCCTACATTATTCTGGAGAAAACCTCAACAATCAAGCAACCCCTAGACAAGTTTGCAGTTGTAGAAAGGACAACCTCTGGCAGAGCCAGGGCTCAGGGAATCCCGGCTATCTATCAAAAAAAGTTAAAAAGTAGTTATATGGCTCCACTGGTATATAAATATGTGGGGAGAGTGAGAGCTGAATGGTGAAGAACTGCTTAGTTCATCGCATCAAGTCTTGTCACGATTAGTGGAGCGGACTCAGGCGCAGACCACAAGTTTCTTCAAATCAAAAGTGAATTTATTTACAGTGTTCTCCACGGTGAAATATATATACACACACAACGGTGTCTGGGGAAAAGGGGCCGGGGTTCCAGGGTCCGGGAGTGAAAGGGGCAGGAGTCCAGGGAGGGGAGATTTCCACACAGCCCTCGCAACCACACACAGCTCCTCTTCTTTCCTCTATCACTCTTGCTCACGCTCAGTCACCGTGCACAAGGAAAACAGGTCCAGGGGAAATCTATACACAGAAAGAGAAACAGTTAGTCTCCTGGTTCAGACGTACTGACGAACAATATCTTATCTCTCT